ACAAAACCCACTAAAAAAGTTTCAAAAAATAATAAAATTGTTTAGACCCCGCACTAAAGTGAAAACAAAAAGTAAAAAGTGAAAAAATATGTGGGCGAGCACGTTTTGACACCGCCATCTTTGGCAATTTTTTATTCTTATTTGGCTCAGCCAAATGACTTGAAAATTTACAGGCATGTACCTCACGTCATAGAGAACTCACAAAAAAAAAATTCCGAAAAGCCCTGAAATAATTTCTGGTGGGGCCGAACGCCGTCAGGTTCGGACCCCGTACGGGACCCCGAACGCCCGTACGTAAGGAGGTCTGCACAGGGTCCTCCGTACGTACGGGCTGGTGACCCTGATTGTTAGTATTATTATTATTATTATTATTATTATTATTATTATTATTTTGAGTCCAAGCTGTTGTGGAGGCTGGGCTTCTAGGCAAATGACAGGCCCGTCAGCACCTGACCAACGTTGTTGAGCATTTCACCCTGCCAATATCAAAACTATCCTTAAAACAAAAGGACGAGATCTGTCAGTACCAAAGGCAGTGGGATTATGGGGGGGATGGCTAGCGTTTCCTTTCTTTTTTTTTTCCCAAAGAAAAAAGGCAAAACCACCTCGAGGGATCATCCTTAATCTCGCCAGATCCATTTTATTCATCCACATTTGTTGACAGTTGTAAATGAATGAACCATTCAGCCACATGGGCTGCAATGGCAAGCATTACTTGTATTATTATTATTATTTATTTATTTATTTATTATTATTATTATTATTATTATTATTATTATTATTATTGAATCCAGTGGCATGTTCTTTTCCTTTTCTTTGTCAGATCGTTGAGCATTTTGGGCAAGCACACGCTCGATGCGATGACAGGAAAAAAAAAAAAAAAAAAAAAAAAAGAACGGCAATGGCTAGTTGGGTCAAACTAGACAGCCCCAAAGAGCTCGTGCATCACGAGGAAAACCAAATGACACCCCTTGAGTGGCGTCATTTCTTTCATGAACTGAGCTGGCTGCAACTGCCAGGCAGCCCAGGCCTGACCAGTCCAGCCGCGGTTCCCTTTGCGTCAGCACAGCGCAACCGCCGGGGCGCATTAAGTTGGAACCGACTTTTCATTTATATAAGTGTGAACATAGACAAAAAGGTCGGTAAGTGGTTTTGTACTATCCCTTAGAATATCATTCAAACCTGGGCTACCAGCCGGGCCGCCCGGGTCACCTTGTCTGACCGGGCGGCCCAGCCGTGCGAGGACTAGCGAACAGCCCGGCAAACCAAAAAAAATAAAATGTGATGCACAAAAATAAACTGAACTTTTTTTTTTTTCTTTCAAATGAACGATGTCTTTATAAAACCCGGGAACCGGGCCCGGCGTCCCTTACAATTCAATTAAATTACATTGCGGGTACTACGGATCCTTGGTGATCCACCTTTACTGGTGGACTTCACCGGTATTACCTAAAGGCTGTGTTGTAACAAGATGTCGTTTCGCCTCCTGTCCCCAATTAATTGGGTAATCTGCCTCTTTCAATTCAAACCTAGGTGAGCATATCCACCACCCGGTAAGAGGCACCTCAGCATACGATCGTACGCTATCTATTGTCTGGGGGGTTGAGCAATTCCGAAAGATGCTTCAATTTACCATAACCAGGTTCATCTCGTAAAATTTTGTGTGGCCCTCAGTGGGCAAGGCATCATCGGCCAAACACATAGAGGACACAACTAGATTTAACCCCACTGCACTGTCAATTTCACAATCCCAACAACTCAAAAAGTCGACGAAAGTTGTCATCACAATCTAAATTATCCCCGAGGAATGAAAATACTAAGAAAATCTAAAACTCATCACCAAAAGAACGTAATCACAATAGTCATGTCAACCCTACGCTAGTAACCTAAAAAACCAATCTAAATCACTTATCAGAACCGAGCAATCAGCCCTGCGTAATCATGTCTACCATTCACCCGGAGTTATTACCAACCCGCCCTACCACAGGGTCACATCGAAATTCTTTACCACATTTGAAATAAAAAACTTAAAAAAAATAAAAAAAAGTAAAATAGTAAAATCCTTTATTTTTAGTTCTATTTTCTTTTTTGCCCGGCTGGGAAACTTGCCCCCGCGCACCTCTGGCAGACTTGGATTCGATCATTCAAACTTATTTTCTCTCTTTCTATCTCAGAGTTGTTTTCAACTTTATCGAGTCTTTCCAGTTCTACCGTCAAACAATTGACTTTCCCCTGGTGTGTCTGCATGCCTTTTTATCCTGAAAAACTTTTTTTTTTCTCGTCCACTTTTTTTTTTCCGGTGTACTTTTTCCAATCCCCTTTCGTTTTTCTTAACTTGCATGCACAGACACCCAGCACATGTAACCTGTTAGTGGCTGCTACGGGGTCCCCGCCCCCCCGTAATACTATAATGACAAAAAAAAAAACAAAAAAAAACTGAAATGCCGTCCTGTCTAGATTCGACAGGTAATTTAATTGCTTGGGCTTAAGGAATTTTAGCCCGAAAAAAAAAAAAAACAGATCATGAGTTCGGATCCCTCATGGACTTGGACGAATAAGGGACGAAAAAGATTGCATGCGGAGATGGTGTGGCAGGAAAGCACGAGTGCTCGATCACGAGTCCCGGGCCCACTCTGGTAGCCTAGGTCCTGAAATAAATTTAACTGGGCACAGGCAGGCCTCTGCTACATCCGTGCAAGGCTAAAGCGTCAACCGGTGTAGCTTACCAGTCGACGCTTCAGCCTTGCACGGATGTAGCAGGCCTGCCTGTGCCCAGTTAGTTAAATTTATTCAGGACCTATACATATATCATTTTTTTTATTTTTTTTTAACTTGACAAAGAATTTCGTAGGTCGCATGGCATGCGCAGCCGGATTGACTGTCCGCACTATCCGGCAGGACTCAGGAGCATTCGGAGACAAAACAGTCTCTCCGGGTTTCCCGGATAAATTCCAGATTTTTTTTTTTTTTTCCAGATTCTTTGGTTTATTTTTCAAGATTCTTTGGAACATCCAGAGAGAATGAAGTTTATTTCTAGTTTTCATTTTCCCGGATCTCCAGATCTGCTTCGATTTTTTTTGAAATGGCCTTCGTCCCAAGATTTTTTAAACTTTTTTAATTTTTATTAAAAAAAATCAGATTTTTTTTTTTTTTTTTTTTGAAGTATCATATTTTGAAACCCCCGCATATACTTCATCCGGTTTCATCAGGCCCAATGATCAGGGGTCGTATCATCCGACCCACAAATTCCGATTAATCAAGGGTGCCCGGACATCCGGATTTGCTACTTGCCAAATAGTACTTGTAGAATTTCGATGTGAATTGCGAAGTTGTTCAGGCATCACATAACCTGGGCCCACGCAAGCTACTGGGCTGGTCCCCAGGGGCCCACAAGCCCCGAAATGTACCCTATTTTTGGTAGACTTTCTTCTGACAGTTCTTGGCTACCGACTGGTTCCCCTGCGTCGCCTTGATTGCCCAGGCTGCCCGGCTGAACGACAGCAGGCAAGGCCACAAGGGCCATGGGAGCCCTCAGCTGGGAAAAAAAAATCAGGAAAAAAACGAACGACAGCGCGAAAAGAAACTCTGCTACACGGGAAAATAAACGGAACAGCTTTCGCTTCACCAATTCCAAAAAAAAAAGAAAAAAAAAAAAGGCCGGGCAAAACTGGTCCCGGGGATCATTCTGGTAGCTTTGGGTTGACAGGCTTTTTTGTTTTTGTTTTCAATATTATTTTTTTCCCCTATACAGTGATACGTTCCCTACCTCCCTGATTTTTAAAATTTTCTTTTGTCAAAGGAAATGAGAGGCAAAAAATACTGCCAAATTTGAGAAAACGGACCACTGGCAGGGGGTTATCTGCAGAGTCAAAGAAGGCTAGAAGTGGAAAAGGGACAGCAGGATTCTTACAGGGAAAATTATGACGGACAGGAGTGGAACAGAGCAGCAAATATAATTTAATTCATTAGAGTCATTACTAAAATTTTGCCAAAAATAGACAGAAAAACAAAAACAAATTTAACTGACCGGCTTCCGTCAATCGACAATAGCTACGAGAAGTCACTTCAAATGAGCAGGACCTCCCACCCTCTCTCTCTCTCTCTCAGACACACACACACACACACACACAAAAAAAAAAAAAAAAAAAAAAAAAA